GACAAGTCTGAAGCATGATGTGTAACTTTTAAGACGGGGAGCCTATGGGACATTGCAGGTCAACTGCAGGTCAACTTCCTGCCCACGGAAGATGCTCTCCCCGTGGAATCGCTTGGAGAGGATTATTGTAAAATCCTGTGCCTGGTGCTATCAGGTTTTCTATCTTCATGCTTTTGCTCTCTTTGTCATACAGCCATTGCCATCTCCTCACTGTCTTCTTGCTATTGCCTTCCCACCGTGATGTGATGCACTCGAGACAGTCACACCTGAGCACCGTACCCAGGGAGCTACATAGCCTCTTTTCTCCCCACACCTTTGGTTTTGTTGTTTGTTTCTGAGTCAGGGTCTTACTACGTAATCAAGGCTTGCCTTGAGTGCACAGCAATCCTCCAACCTCAGTCTCCCAAGTGCAGGGATTACAAGCATGCACCACCATAGCTGGCTCTACTTTTAATTTTTATTGAAGGAGCTTAATACTGTTTTCTGTAGTGGCTCACTGGGGTTTTGGTTTGCTGATTTGCAATGATCAGTGAAGCTGAGCAACTTTTCATACGCTTGTTGGCTATTGTGTACCTTCTTTGAAGAATGACTATTTAAGTCCTTCATCCATTGTAACTGTTAAGTTACCTTTTATAGTAGGAGCTCTGGAGAGTAACTTCTTATCAGGTGTATGACTTGCAATACTTTCTCAAATTACACACCTTGCTTCTTATTCTGCTGATTATATCCTTTGATATACACAAGTTTTAAATTCCAATGTAATGCCATTTTCCTATGTTAGCTTTTTTTTTTTTGTCTTTTTTTTCAGTACTGGGGATCGAACTCACAACTGCCTGCTTGCAAGGCAGGCGCTTGTGCCGCTGAGCTAAACCACCAGCCCGATGTTAGCTTTTGTTGCCTGTGTTTCTGTATCATATCCTAGGGTTCAGGAGGTGGGGAAGGCTCAGCTCTTCTTGTTTCCCAGTCCATGCTGGCTAGCTCACAGAAGGGGGTTGGCTTCTTGGTTTTCCTTGACTACAGTAGTTTTGTAATATGTTTTTTAAAAATAGTAGCAAAGTTTATTTGAAAAAGTAGAAGTGAAGACTGAGGGAGAAACTGGCTCTGCAGAGCAAGCTTTATTCTGAGTAAAAGAGGAAAAAGCAAGATAAAAGTGCACCCTGGAGGAAGAAGGGTGGGCTCTTGTAAGGCAAGCCACCATAGCTGTAATATATTTTTACCAAACATGATGGCCCACGGATGCAATCCCAGCATCAGGAGGCGAAGGCAGGAGGATTGCTGTGAGTTTGAGGCCAGCCTGCATTACACAGTGAGACTTTATCAAGCAGCCTGCTTCTGAAAAGGGCTTGCCAACTAAACATTACCAGATTTGCTTGACTCTCCTGAGTTGGGTTCCAGGTTCTTTTTTTTGTCTTTTTCTATCGGTACCAGGGATTGAACTCATGACTGCCTGCTTGCAAGGCAGGCGCTTACCGCTGAGCTAAATCCCCAGCCCCTTCAGGGTCTTTTTTAAAGATAGTTCTTACCGCAAACAAACAATTGAATGAAATGAGAAAAAAAGCAGTGGCAAGGTTTATTCAAGACAGGAAAAGTGATAAGTGGAGAAGAAACTGGCTCTACAGAGTAAGCTTGGGCAGAATAAACAGAAACAGAAAAGAAAAATGCAAAGATAAAATATCCTCACCCAGCATGGGCCATTGTGAAAAGTTACAATAGCACTGCGTCTTGTGGCTGCCTTTCTTTTATGAAGTCCAAATCTTGAAGAAACTCATGAGAATTTCTCCGCTGGGGTCCTGAGAGGCAGTGCTGTGATCCCTCACCTCAGGCTGACTTCAGATTTAGGCTGCCCTGTAGAAAATCTGCTTGAGTCCTTGGGTGAATTCTCCTTGCAGAGCTTTGGGAACTGTTCTCTGCTTGTGTCTGGAATCTTGTAATTAACAGGTCATGCCTACTTCCCCAGCCAGCTTTCCCATGTCCTATAATCTCCTAGCTCAAGATGTGTCTCAAAAAACAAAACAAAACAAAAAAACTTTTTTTTTTTTTTCAAATTGGAAAAGTTAAAATCTCTGACTTTGGGTTTTTTTCAAGATTATTTTGCCCATTTGGGGGCCTTTGAGATTTCACTTGAACTTTAAGTTTTTAAAAAATTTCTACAAAAAATGCCATTGGAATTTTGATAGGGATTTCACCAAATCTGTAGGTTATTTTGGGTTAATGGACTCTTTAAAAAAACATTAGCTCTTCTAATCCATGAGCATAGAATGCCTTTCCAGTTATTTGTATTTTTAATTTATTTTAGCCAATGTTTGTATTTTCAAAGTACAAGTCTTTTACCTTTATTTTTATTTATTTACTTATATACCTTTTTAAGACAGGATCTCACTATGCAGTTCAAGCTGGCCTTGAGCTCACTTTGTAGCCAAGGCTGGTCTTGAACTCACAACAATTCTCCTGCCTCAGCCTCTTGAGTACTGGAATTACAGGCATGAGCCACCACACCCAGCTTCACCTGTATTCTTTTTGATTCTGTTGTAAATGCGCTTATTTTCTCTGATTTTTTTGTTGGTTTGTATCCAGAAACTTTGTTAAAGTTGTTTATTGGTTTTAACTCTGTGTGTGTGTGCGTGTGTGTGTGTGTGTGTGTGTGTGTGTGTGTGTGTAATCTTTAGAGATTTCTATATATAAAGTGACATCAGAAAATAGAGATACTTTTACTTCTTCTTTTCCAGTTCTTTTATCTCTTTTTCTTTATGCAATGCCCTGGCTAAGATTTCCAGTGTTACATTGAGTAGAAGTGGTTAAAGGTGTAATTACTAAGTCAAAGAGTTAGGACTTCTTTATGACTTAATTTATACTGCAAAAATTTTGGCAGGGCATGGTGGCTCATGCTTGTAATCCCAGCACTCTGGAGGCTGAGGCAGGAGGATCCTTTCGAGTTTGAGACTAGCCTGGGCTACAATGTGAGCTCAAGGCCAGCCTGAATTGCATAGACACCCTGTCTCAAAAAGACAAAAACAAATTTTTTTTAAAAATCTTTTTATTGGTACCGGGGATCAAACTCACAACTGCCTGCTTGCAAGGCAGGTGCTTATGCCACTGAGCTAAATCCCTAGCCCCTAAAAAAATTTTTTTTGTTTCCTGGAAAAGTATAGCAATTTATGTCCTCACTATCAGTGTTGTATTCTTGGCAAAATTGAGGAGGGTTCTCTTTTTAATATATTTATTGGCCATTTTTTCCTCTTTCACTTCCATGTTTCCTATCAACTTATTTTTCTAACATGCCATTTGGTTTTTCTTTATAATGCTGTATGCAAGTCTTTACTATTTCATTGATCTCAACCATAAATACTTTTTGTTTGTCTTTTTGAGATAGGGTCTCACTATGTATGTAGTTCAGGCCGGCCTTGGGCTCACTCTTTAGCCCAGGCTGCCCTCAAACTTGCAATGATCTTCCTGCCTCAGTCTCCCAAGGGATTACAGGTGTGCACCACCACACCTAGTGCCACCAATAAATACTTTATATTCATTATGTGGCAGGTCTTGTTTTGGGTATTGGATGGACGCAGGAAAGACTAAAATAGATCAAAATTATACTGCAGGCAGTGGGCAGGGTAGAGAGTGATCTAGTATAGTCAAATGGAGACAAACATTATTTTTTAAATCAGAAAATAAGATGAAGAGTATAAGAAATGCTACTTTTATATACGTGATCAGGGAAGAACTGTCTTTGAGTAGAGACATGGGGATGAGAAAGAAAGCTCTTCATAGATCTTCTTGGGGTTGAGAACTTTAGGCAAAGGGGCCAACAAATTCTTCATAAATCCTGGATATTAACACTTTCTCAGAACACCATGTGTCTTCTGGGGTTGTTTATACTGTCTTTGTAGTTTTTTTTTTTTAATCAATACCAGGGATCGAACTCACAACCGCCTGCTTGCAAGGCAGGTGCTGATGCTGCAGAGCTAAATCCCCAGCCCCCAGTGGTTGTGGTTTTGATTTTGGTTTTGGTATTTTGAGACAGGGTCTCTCTACAGTTTAGGCTGGGCTTGAATTCATTATATAGGGCTGGCCTTGAACTCGAGATGACCCTCCTGCCTCAGTCTCCTGAGTTCTGGGATTACAGGTGTGCACCACACACCTTGCTTTATACTGTATAGCAGGTTACCCTATACTGCTGTTCATATATGAGGTTGGTTATAACTTGAAGATTATCCTGACCGGCGCAGCCCCAATGAAACAGGAGACAGGAGACGCTTTTGTGGACGACAGTTAACTGCTAGTTTATTTACGCGGGCTCTGGTTTATATATTTGGCCGTGACCAATCACAGGCTGCCACAAGGAAGCAGGGTGGGTATGGGATGCAGGCTCTGGCTACTATATCCAGCTGTGGCCAATCAGGAGTTGCCACAGAGTACGGAGTAGAGCGCGGGGTGCGCAGGGGTTGGCTAATTTAAAGAGGAACGTAGCGCATTGCGGAAGCTGGCGTGGTCCTTAGTCCCGGCTGGGGTATGGTATGTTGAGCGCCTGCGCCCAACATCTCCCCCTTTCTTTATAACTGACGCAGGGTCTCCAGAGGTCGGTGCCCCTCGTGAGACGTCATGCTGCGCAGTCATGACAGTGCCTCACTACTTGTTGGTGCTCTTTTGGAGGGGGCGGGAGTATTGTTTTATGAGCCCAACCCGCATGCTCACCAACATGGGGACCGGGGTGTCTCCTGGCCAAGGACGACACCCCCTGCGATGCTTTGCTCCACACCTGCGTCACAGCATGGTGAGCCATGCTGCCGGGCTTTGACCAGATTCCATGATCAGCAATGCTTGTTTGGTACTTTGTCCCTATTCCTTTGTCTGCGAATCCGACAGAGCAGAAGTAGACTGCCGAATGCAGCAAGTGTAGTCATGGTAGCCTGATCCAGCCTGTAGATCAACAAGTTTAGAGCTCCTGGAGGGGAAACAGGGATTAAATAAAAGACATGGGGGAGACAAAAAGAGACGAAGGCAAGTTGATGTGACCCAATCAAGCCTCCCGTTTATTGAGAAAATAATCACACCTTTTATAGGCTAAGGGCAGGAGCAGGGACAGGAAGAGGTTAAACAGATGAATACAACAGGGTTACCATCACATCCGGATAAGTGACGTAAGCAGAAGAGGATTATGGTTAATGTAGGCAGACGCAGTGCCCATAGGAGAGAGAGAGAGAGACATCTAGGCAGCAATGCCTGTCACTCGGCTCCCTACATCTCCTCCCTTTTTATATTATTTAATTAAGAGTATGGCAGGCCCTGTGAGAACAGCGTCTGTCTTAGGTCAAGGACCTCATTGCATGAACCCAACCAGGCCTTACCCGTCATGGGCTTGCAGAACAGCAGTTGGTCCTGTGCCTGTCTTAGGTGGCCATTGGAATTAACATGCATGTCCTAGTTGCCCGTCTCTGACTGCCTGTCCATTGCCCCAGGGCAGTCAGGCCGCATCATCATATGGGCCACTCGTGGGAATTCTTTCCCTGTAGGTTTGTTGATCTGTCATCTCCAGCTGATGATAGTGTACCTGAATGGGCTTTGTCATAAATGTGTCTATCCGGTTATTAATGAACATCATAATCCTCTGAAAAATACAAGACTCACAGAAATGAGAAACAATAGGTCAGCTAGGGGACCCAAAAGGGGGATTAGGTAAGGGAAACCTCCCCCTCCCAAAATCAAGGAGAAGGGGTTGACAGCCATTTGTTGGTGTCTCTGTATGAAGTCATTCTCCTGTGTCTTGGAGCAATGCCTTGTATAACACTGGATGCAGTCTGTTTGACTGGTGTATGTTTTTCCAGACCGAGAAGAGCCTCTTCCGCAGTCATGGGGTTTTGTGCATGGCTGTCAGCAGTTGTAGTCTGTTTGGCAGGGGTCGAAATCCACCATGGGTGTGGTGTGGCTCAAGAAGGCTGGTTAAGCAGCATAAGGCTCCAGGGAGATGTGTCACCTGTAAGAGAACACAGGGGATTGTGCCTCAGGAAATAACATTATTCCTGGGCGTTACATGGAGTCTTTGAAGAACTGTCTACTTGCTTTACGAGGCATTCAGGTAGCCATCTAGGTTCTCTATCTTGTTGAGAGTAAACACACACTGAACCTCGTCCCCAGATAAGGACTGGATCAGGGCCATTCCACACATTGGTTAGTGGGTCTCTCCATAAAACAGATGCAAACCGTGTTTGAGTCTGAGTATGCCAAAACCGAGATGCTGTGGAGCAGCCTGAAGCATCCAGGGTCAGAAAATTTAAAATAAAAAGAGCATGTGAAAGGACATTATTAGGGGACCCCTGGGTGGGGTACCATGTCTCCCTTTTTATTTTATCTATGGTGAATTTAAGAGAACGATGTGCACGTTCAACAATGCCTTGTCCCTGAGGATTATAAGGTATACCTGTAGTGTGGAGAATATTAAGGCTTTTACAAAATTGAGCAAAGGAGGTGCTGGTATAGCCAGGCCATTATCAGTCTTGAGCTGTTGAGGACATCCCAGAACTGAGAAGGCTGACAGCATATGGGCTATAATGTGTTTAGCAGCTTCTCCAGTCTGGAGAGTGGCAAAAATGAAGCCACTATAAGTGTCAATAATGACATGTACATATTTTAGATTGTCAAACTCATTGAAATGGGTAACATCCATTTGCCATAAGGCGTTAGGAATTAAACCTCTAGGGTTGACTCCTAGGTGTTGAACAGGTAAGTGGATAGCACAAGATGGACAATTTTTTACAATTTGTCTGGCTTGCTCACGGGTAATTTTGTAGAGAAGGCGGAGGGTGTGAGCATTGAGGTGGTGTAACTGATGGGCTTGTTGGGCCTCAGACACCTTGGAGTCCTGAGCCATAAAAACCTGTGCTCGTACAGCAACATTAGCCAAATGATTTTTTTGGGCAAGAGGCCCTGGGAGGTTGGAATGAGCTCGCAGATGACCGATAAAGAACTTATGACGGCGAAGCCGTATGAAGCATTGTAATTGTTTGAACAGATTTGCAGCTGGGGAAGCATGACATATAGTAGCAACAGTCTCTAATAATGGAACAGACTGGGCAAGGTAAGCACTGTCAGTATACAAATTAAATGGTTGGTCAGAGTAAGCAGCAAAAGCTGCAAGAATAGCTTCTAACTCTGTTAATTGTGTAGAGGAAGTATCTGCCTGGAGGGTAGAAACATTGTCTTGAGATACATAAGCAGCCCTTCCAGAGGATGAGCCATCAGTGAATAAAACCAGGGCACCCGGAAGGGGTTGTGAAGCTGTGACTTTAGGGAATATAAATGAGTGACGATTAGCAAAGTCAACTAGCTTATTTGGAGGGTAATGATTGTCAATAGTCCCTGAATAGGAAGCTAAGGCAATAGGCCACACTTCAGTACTCTGAAGTAGCCAATCTATTTGGTCTTTTGTAAAAGGTTGAATGATAATGTCTGGTTCTTTGCCAAAGTAACATTTTTTCTGCTTTTTACCCTGGATTATTAGGTCTGAGACAGCTTGGAAATAAGGCAAAAGTGTTCTTTTTGGAGAGACTGGTAAATGGACCCACATGAGGGGAGCTTGTTGTCAGAACACTGCTGTAGGGCAAAGCTTTGTATTAAAAATGAGAAACTGTAAAGGCTTATTGTAGTCCATAAAGGAAACAGTTTGTTGAGCAATAGCCTCTTTTACTTTACTGAGCACTCTCCTGGCATCAGGTGTAAGCTCTCGGGGGGAAGTTGGATCTATGTCTCCCCGAAGCAGCGCATAAAGGGGCTGTAAATCATGTTTAGTTAGTTTTAAAAATGGTATGAGCCAATTAATGTCTCCCAATAGTTTTTGGAAGTCATGAAGTGTAAAGGAATAGAGAAAAAGCAATCTTTAAGATCTATGACAATTTTAAAAAATCCTAAAGGAATGGCACTGGGTGAGGGGAGGCCTGGCTGTAGGGGCCCCATTAAGACCATTGTCTTATTTATCGCCCTAAGGTCTTGTAGCAGCCTCCACTTTTCCGACCTTTGCTGGATAACAAAGATAGGTGTGTTCCAAGGGGAATTACTAGGAACAATGTGGCCTGCATCTAACTGGTCTTGCACCAGCTGCCGTGCGGCTGCAAGCTTTTCAGAGTTAAGGTTGTTTCTAAAGGCTTATATGAATCCCCAATTTGCCATGGAGGCACAGGGAGTGGCGGGCTGCCATCCTGGGACCTGCTGATCATGTCAACAGGTGGAAGTGGTGGCAGATCACCATGTATAAGGACCTCTAACAGGCCATCATTCTCTGCATCTGAGAAATCAGAGGCTTCAGATTTTTCTGAGGACGGTTTTGAGGTAGATTTAAGGGAGTCGCGCAAGGCAGCCTCACCCAGTGCAACTGTCTCCTCAACCTGAGGGTCTGTATGCCTCTGGGCAAGCAGCTCAAAAATTAAATTTCAATATGTAAAGGTGGTCACAGGAACCCTTTTTGGACCGAAAACTCTATAATAATCTTTTAAAACATCTCTTACTGTATTCCACCTCTTGGTATCTATAGAACCCTCTAGGGGGAACCAAGGGCAAACCTTATGAATAAATTGAAAATACTGTAATAATTCTTTTTTTTAACCCTTATCTCTCTTGTCTTTAATGCCTTTATAAGGCCTCCGATGAACACTTTGTGTTCGCTCAATACTTGACCCATGTCGGGGAAGGGAAATGGGGTTGCCGTTCACTTACCGTGACTCGGGCAGGACGTCGGGTAGTCGTCTGCGCAGTCTCGGCACTTGATTTAATGTCCTGTTGCTTTAAGCTTTAATCCTTGATTTAGTTTACTCATTCCTCGGCCGAGGTCTCTGGTTTAATTTGCTTTCACTTTCGGTTTAAGCCGGCTGTCTCTTGAACGGCTCCCTCGTTAACTTCTCCGTGCCAGGAGCCCCACGTTGGGCGCCACTTGATCCGGCCTGTAGATCAACAAGTTTAGAGCTCCTGGAGGGGAAACGGGGATTAAATAAAAGACATGGGGGAGACAAAAAGAGACGAAGGCAAGTTGATGTGACCCAATCAAGCCTCCCGTTTATTGAGAAAATAATCACACCTTTTATAGGCTAAGGGCGGGAGCAGGGACAGGAAGAGGTTAAACAGATGAATACAACAGGGTTACCATCACATCCAGATAAGTGACGTAAGCAAAAGAGGATTATGGTTAATGTAGGCAGACGCAGTGCCCATAGGAGAGAGAGAGAGAGACATCTAGGCAGCAATGCCTGTCACTCGGCTCCCTACAGTAGCCAGAGCCCCTGTTCCTGCCCATTCCTTTATGAAAGCCAATTGGAGAGTTGGCCTGAGCTGGATCACAGGAAACTCGTCTGGGTCCGTTATAACTGGAATCGGTACGAACTGGAGTACCTGCATAACAACAGCTGAAAGTGCACTGTTATCCCAACATTGTAACATATAACAGGTTGCAGTGGAGCAATTTAGAAAAGTCATTGGCTGCAAGGGCCGTACGAGATGCAAGAAGGAGGGGAAAAGGAGGCTACTAACCAGGGGAGTTGGCCAAGGTGCCATAGTTAATGGGAGTTGTGGGTATACTTGCTAGGTCTGGCTTGTGAGGCTCCTGTTGGTTCCCCTGTTCTGTGGTTGACGTTTCCTCTGGGTCGGGGTCTGGTGGTTTGCAGGGGCGTATCAGGCGTTCCGGGACCCAGACAGGTTTGCTGCCTTCTTCCTGCAGGAAGACACAGACCGCCCCTCTCGCCCAACTAAGTACTGGGCTGGGGCCTCTCCACACCCCATGCAGGAGGTCTTTCCAGCGTACCCAACCATGTTTGGGTGCGACAGGGTTGGCATGTAGCTGTGCTGGCGTGGATCCTTGTGGGTTGATGTTTCCAAATTGTAAGTAAAGAGGGCGAGATTTAGTCTGGCCCTAGGTGTCATGCCCTGGGCAATACCCTCCTTTTGTTTAAACAGAATAGACTTGAGGGTTTGATATGGCCTAACTTTAATTGCTCTTGAATAAGTTTGGATGTGGCTTTTGTTTTGTCTCGGTGGTAGGACCGTCAACAATGGCAAGCCCCGACTCCTGCCAAGTTAACGAACTATACCTGGTGCTGACCCAGAGCAGCTGTGAGCTGCTTAATGAGCGGCATGGCTGTCTTTGTGTCTCTAAAAACTCTCCCTGCCGCCTCCATCATGCGGGCCACAAAATCTGAAAAAGGCTCGCTCGGGCCCTGCAAAATTTTTGTCAAGTGGCCTGAGACTTCTCCCCTAGCCGAGACCCGTTTCCATGCTTGTATGGCTATTCTATTTATCTGTGTATATACCTCTTGTGGAAATATCAGCTGGTTATTGAGATACTGCCCTTGTCCTAATAACATATCTGCGTTCCAGCCTGATTGTTCTGGGTATTAGCTTGGGCCTGTTCTGTGGCAAGTTTAACATTCCAAGCTTTCCCATCAAGATATTGGCCTGGGCTGAGCACTGCCTTGCACAAACTGGCCCAATCAGCAGGTGTCATGGCGTTTCCTGCCATGGCTTCTACTAGGGACAGGGTATACGCCCCGTTAACACCGTACATGGTGCTGGCCTCCTTAAGATGCTTTATCGCCTTTATATCTATAGGCAGGTGGGCTCTGTTTCCCTGAGCATCTACAGCAACCGGAAAAGCCTGGAGAAAACGGCCCAGGCCTCCTGGGTCCTCTCTTTTGACTTGATGCCAAAGGTCTTCCTGGAATGTCCCAGGGGACGTCTGGACCCGTTGCAGACAGCTACATAGCTGATGGCAGGGTCTCTGGTGGGCATGATAATCTGGCGGGTCGGGAGGTAGAGCCGTAGGTCTTATACGGGGTGGCCCTGGGATCTCATACTCGCTTTCATTGACCCATTTACTCTGAGAAATCCTGCGTTGCAGCTCATTTATGGCCTCAGAGTAGGGCCCTCTCGACTGCGTGTGTGTGACTTTCCCTCTTTCGGTGGTGTCTGCATCCACCATTTTGTATACTTCTTCTTCCTCCCCCTCATTATCTGACGAGTCCTTTGTTTCTGGGTTGGGTGGGGTCACCTCGCCTGCGGCACTGGACTCGCGAGATTGCTCACGGGAGGATTCTGCCTGATGGTAATCAAGTGCCATGGCGCCAGCCCTTATATGGTCACAACAAGAGGTATCTGCGAGGCAGCTTCTCACTACAGCCCAAAGGGGTCTGACTCCTGGCTCCAGGAGGCCATTTTCTGCTGCAAAGTCAAGATCTCTCCCTAATTTATCCCAGCTGGGGATGGTTACGGACCCCATGGGACCAAACCAAGGTGCTACCTTATCGACCTGATCGAGGAAGTTTTGAATTTGTTTTCGTTTCATTTGTAATCCCTTTTCTCTCAGTAAGTCGCTTAAGGCGACTGACAGCGGCTGAGTAGCCGTGTTACCCATGTTAACCGGAATTTCAAGAGTTTCTTTTTATTTATTTTTTATTTCTTTTTCCTTTTTTTTTGTAACAGGGACAGCTTAGTCCCCGCGCCCCTTTACGGCGCCCCCAAAACCGGCCTCTTTACGGCCCCCGGAACTCTCTTTACGAGTTCCTGACCCTTGCGACGCGTCCGCCCAAGGTTGCCCGATAGCCCCGCCATCCGGCCCGCAGCCCCCGCTGCCTGTTGCGTAGCCCCCGCTACCAACGTTGAGCAGTTTAACCTGTCAGCCCCCGCCCGCCAAGTAGCCCCCGCTATTGGTGCTTGACGGTTTTACCTGTTAACGTCTCTGTTCCGTCGGAGAGAGAGGTTGGTTCCTCGTACTGTCGGAGAGAGGGTCTCAGCGCTCCGGGCTCCCCGTACAGGCCACCAGTTGACCGGCGCAGCCCCAATGAAACAGGAGACAGGAGACGCTTTTGTGGACGACAGTTAACTGCTAGTTTATTTACACGGGCTCTGGTTTATATATTTGGCCGTGACCAATCACAGGCTGCCACAAGGAAGCAGGGTGGGAATGGGATGCAGGCTCTGGCTACTATATCCAGCTGTGGCCAATCAGGAGTTGCCACAGAGTACGGAGTAGAGCGCGGGGTGCGCACGGGTTGGCTAATTTAAAGAGGAACGTAGCGCATTGCGGAAGCTGGCGTGGTCCTTAGTCCCGGCTGGGGTATGGTATGTTGAGCGCCTGCGCCCAACATTATCCTATTTTAAATTTTACTAATCTTCTATTCATGGCTCTGAGTTTTACATTTTTGGTTTGCTTAGCTGTTCAGAGACAGGGTCTTTCTAAGTAGTGCAGGCTCATTTTAAATTCATTATGTACCCCAGGCTGGCCTATTTCAGCCTCCTGAGTGCTGGGATTATAGGTGTGTGCCATCACATCTGGCTCTACTTTATACCTAAGGAGACTTTTACTACACCAAAATCATAAAAATATCATCCTATATTCACTTCTATTTTTTTTTTTTGTCTTTTTCCTTTTTATTGGTACTGGGGATCGAACTCACGACTGCCTGCTTGCAAGGCAGGCACTTATGCCGCTGAGCTAAACCTCCAGCCCCTATTCACTTCTATTTTTATCCTTGGATTTTTAACAGTTTCATTAAGATAATTTATATATCTTAAAATTCCCCCATTTAAATTTTTTTTCCATTTTGGGTATATAACCCAGAAATTTTTGGTAAATTCATGGAGACATATCACCATCATTACAATCCAGTTTCAGAACTACACTTTTACATTTATATGTTTAATTTTTAACATGTCTAAGATTCATTTTAGTAACAATCTGATGGAGGTGAGTGGAGAGCCCAATGTTGTGGTTTATGTCTTGATGTCCCCCAAAAGTCTTATTCAGTTATGGGGGGGTGGGCTTTTTGAGGCGACTGAATCTAGTTTGTGATTGATTCATAGTTCAGTGCTAGTATTAAGGGTGTGAGTACTACACCTGCCCTAGGGTAGGTACCCTACATACAACATAAGGGATAGAAGAGTCTTATTTCTGGCTTGTTCGTTTCCAGTCTTCCACTGCTATGAATTGGCTTTTTTTTTTTTTTTGTACCAGGGATTGAATTTACAACCTCATGCTTGCCAGGCAAGCACTTGTGTGGCTGAGCTAAATCCCTACCCCCACCCTGCTTTTGAGACAGGGTCTTGCTATATTATTCAGGCTGAGCTTTAACTCATTGTGTAGGCCAGGCTGGCCTTGAACTTGCAGCAATTCTCTTGCCTCAGCCTTCTGAGTGCTGGGATTACAGGTCAGTGTCACCATGCCCAGCCCACCATGAACTACTGCCTCTCTACCATGCCACCTTACCTTGGAGCCAATTGATTATGGAGTGAAACCTCTACAAACTGTGAGATAAGTAAACTTTTCCTCCTTTAACTTTGGGTGTTGGGTATTTTGTCTCAGTAACAAGAAAAGCAAGTAAGACACCCACCTTTGAAATGGGACATAAAGATGGTAACTACTCTCAATTTGCCCTTATATGTATATGGTCCTGGAGTAATTGTAGACAGTTGAGGGTTCTTTTGCTCAATTTACATAGAAATCATGAATCATCAAAGTGCTGCTCTGCTAGTGGCCCTGATGCCACTGGCTGACACCAGTTAATGCTGCATGCCATCTATCAGCACTGCTGGCTATTGGTCTCTACCACTGTCACTTGCCTTATCCAGTTTGGTATTGAGTATTTGTACATGGATTGTGTTACATCTGCACATGTAACTTTCATAATAGTGTCCTCAGTCATTCTACTCACCACTGCATTTCTCCACCCCAGCAACCTGTTTGGTACAGGTGCATAGAAGGTCTTTTAAGAATCATTGATTGACTAATTCTGGCTCCCAGAAACTAACAGAGTAATGAGGAAACTAGAGTACGGGGAAAGAGGACGGTGACATGGTTAAGATCCATAACAGCTTCAAAACAGAGAGAAGCAAGCAGGAATCAGACTCTAAGGCCTAACTCCTGGCTTGGAGTCTGGGCTCATTTACTGGCTAGCTGGCTGCAGCCTCCCCAAGCGGGCGAGAAATGTCAGGTTGCACACTCAGTGACTAGTCTTTGACTCAGACTAATCTCAGAAATGTAGGTCCCAGTGGCCAGAAAAACAGGCGGGTCAGCAAACACCTTACCTTTCCGCCACCTGCCCCCGGCAGAGCAAGACTACATTTCCCAGCAGCCCCCGGGCGCCCACGTCCCTGCCACGCGGCTTGCGCCTCCGCCATCAACCCGCTGGGGGCGCTGTGGCGAGCCCTCCGCCGCCCCGTAGAAATCTACGCGGCCCCGGGGCCGTTTGCTTCCTGTTTGTCGGAGGAGGAGACATGGCGGCGGCGCCGGCGGCTGCTGGGGCTGGGGTCTGCCGAGGGAGACGATCGGCAGCAACAGTGGCAGCATGGGGCGGATGGGGCGGCCGGCCGCGGCCGGGGAACATTCTGTTGCAGCTGCGGCAGGGCCAGCTGACCGGTCGGGGCCTGATCCGTGCTGTGCAGGTATGCGGCTGGCCCGGAGGGGCGGGGCGGGGCGGACCAGGCGGGAGCTGGCTGGGGGCCGGGGTAGAGGCCTTTCCAGGCCGCTGCGGGGCGGGCCAGACCCTTCTTGGCCGGTGGCGGGGCCTCGCTGTGGACTGCCCGGACGCTGTCAGTCGCGGCGGGGCCTTGGGCACAGGCCGGCTAGAGGCCCCGGGTCAGGCCGAGCAGGGCAGGGCTGCTGTGGGCACTGATGGCGTGTACGAACCCTGGGCCCAGTTTTCGGATCCTCCTTTCCCTGCGCCACGTCTGCACGTCTGAGGGACCCTAGCGATTTTGCTTAATTTACTATGAGTCTCGAGTTTCCCTCCTGTGAATTGAGCGAGGGTCTTCACTGTAGCCCCCAAACGGTTCCAGGCGTATCATAAATGTCATTTGCTCAGAGAGGCCTTACCTTGACATTTCTCTTTCCTCCTTTCTAAAGTAGGTCCCCGTTGTTACTCTGTCAAAGCCCCAAATTCGTCGTCGTTCCCAATACTTTCTTCGTTTGTAATTACGTTATTTCTTTGTTGTCTGCCCTTCTCGCCTGTCTTCCACATTAGGCTGATCTTCCGCGAATACAGACTCAGTTTCGCTCGTGTAGAGCGTCATGGTTCAGAGTGAGAACTCAAGTCAGGCCTGGGCTCAAAGCTCTGCTCTCTCTCTCTCTCTCTCTCTCTCTCTCTCTCTCTCTCTCTCTCTCGTTTTGGCAAGTTGCCTTGCTGTGCCTCAGTTTCCTCATTTGTAGGATAAGGATGAGAATTAGAACCTAACTTTTGAAGTTGTTGTGAAGACCAAAGGAGACAATTGGTTTAACTGTCAGTGCATTTCTGCTACATAGTGATGGTAGAAGGGTAATTAGGTAATGTTATACTTAGTTTCTAGCTTGTAATAGGTATCCAATATTTGGTTACATTTTTTTGGAAGAGTGAAGGACACTACTTTAGGGTAAGTAGGATGGGTAAAACATGATTTTCTCACTCTCTTCTCAGCCCCGTGGTCCCAGAATATATCTGCAAACACACCTGTACAACAGTAGTTCAATTTAAAGAAAGCTTTTATATAAAGTTTTGAGGGATCAACAAGGACACCTTAATAAAGTGATCAGTGGGAGAGGGCTTGAAATTGGGTGTAAGGGGGAAAGAAGAGTGAGGTTTTTCATAGTATACCTTTATATATTTCAGTTTAGTTTTTTTTTTTTTTTGGAGACAGGGTCTCTATGCAGTTTAGGCTGGCCTTGAGCTCACTTTGTAGCCCAGGTCTGGAATTCGCAAGGAGCCTCTTGCCTCAGCCTCCTGAGTGCTAGGAATACAGGTGTGAGCCATCACGCCTGGCTTCAATTTAGTTTTGAACCATTTGAAAATCGACTGAGGCAGGCCAGGAGGCGGACGCCTGTAATCCCAGCATTTGAGAGGCTGAGGCAAGAGAATTTCAAGCTCCACACCAACCTGTGCCACGTAGCAGGTTCAAGGAGCTAAATGATGAGATCTTGATTCAAAAAAAGGTGGTGGTGGGGATAAAGACCAGGTGGTCTTTATATATGGAAGGTGCAGATGGAGTCATATTTTCCTGGATGTAGACAACCATAAATGAGTGACCTTTTTTTCTCCTCATGAATTCCTCTCTATCTACCTAAAAAAGACCCTGGAAATATTTGCTGTGTCCTCTAAGCTAGAACATCTTAGCAAGTTGGGGATGTGGGGACAGGCAGAAAGGTGACTGACTAACCTTTCTTAAGTGAGCGTATACTTTGTCATTGTATTTCTGGTGCTGGGAATTGAACCAGGGACTTACACATACTCAATAAACGCTTTACCGCTGAGCTACATCCCTGGCCAATTTAGATCAAGCATCATGCAAACTGTACGTTATCTTTAATTCTCTCTTAAATGAGGAAACTGAGGATCAGAAAGGTTAGGATAGATGATTCTAAATGCTGATCCAGATAATGTATATTCTGAGAACAAAAAGTAGAAGATTTTTGGCCAGGTGTGGTGGCACACACCTGTTATTCTGGCACTCAGGAGGCTGAGGTAAGAAGTTTGAGGCCAGCTTGAACTACACAGTGAAAAGCTGCCTCAAAAAGAAGTGTTTTGGCATGAAGAATGAGACAATTAAGAAAATATAATTTGTTTCCAGTGCAGAGAGATTTAGGATGGGAGGAAAGTACAGGAGCTCACCAGATTAGGACACTACTGAAATATGTGAGGCTGGTATAGGCAAGTTATAATGGTAACTGATGGGTGTGTAGGGGTACGGGAACAATATAGGGAGACCGTCTTTCATGTTGACTTCCTTTCTAACTCTTTTCAGTCTGTTCTTGCCACCCCCTCCACCCCTTTTACACGCTGTGAAATAAATTATTTGCTCGCCAATATTTGCATTGCACACTAAACATGTCTGTTATATGACATGTAGGGAAACTATGTTCTTGTTTTTAACATTATTATGTATTATGGTACATGATGATTACATTCAGCATGGGAAGTTGGCACACATATACAACATGTTAATTCTTTTTGTGTCCCTTTTCTTTCTCCTAACACTAGATTTTTTTTTTTTAAATTGAAATTCTGGTAAAATACATACAACAAAGTGTTTCATCATGACCATTTACAGTTCAGTAGTGTAAAGTATATTTATGTTGTTGTGTGACAGATCTCCAGAACTTTTTCATGTTGCCAATCTGAAACTGTGTACCACTGAGCAACTCATTTTTCCCACCCTCAGCCCTTGGAAACCAATCTGCTGCTTTTTGTTTCTGTGAGTTTGACTGCTTTAGATAATAGCCTCATATAAGTGGAGTCCTGGGATATTTGACTTTGGCAATTAGTTTATTTCACTTAGAAAAATGTCCTCAGGGTTAGATGGAATTTCCTTGGAGAAGATCAGTTCTGAACTAAGATGGATCTGAATTGAATCCTAGTTCTGTCCCTTACTAGTTGAATGACCTAGGTTGAGTTAATCTCTGTGAGCCTGTCTCCTTATTTCTAAAATGGTGGTAAAAGCCAGGTGTGGCAGCATACACCTGTATTCCCAGCATTTGGGAGACTGAGGCAGGAGGATTGCTGTGAGGTTGAGGCCAGCCTGGGCTACATGGTGAACTCAAGGCCAGCCTAAACTACATAATGAGATCCTGTCTCAACCCCTCCCCCAAAAATGGTTATAATAGAAGGTGTTAAAAGAATCATATGTTTAAAAAGCTTAGCCAGTGCAGTACATAATGTATTTGCAGAGCCTGAAACCTTGCCAGGCTCTTGATACTAAGAACTCGTGAAAATGAAATGAAATCCCGAGTCTTCAATCCAGTGTCTCTACTCAAACTCTAGCAGTCCCATGGCTTTAAAAAGAGTTGCAAAGTCAGACTACCTAAAGTTTAAAAGCTAAATCTGATACATACTTGCTTTGTAACTTTAGGCAAGTTACTTAGTTTCCATATGCCTCAGGTTCTTCATTTGTACAGTGGGATAACCACCTAAAGTTGTGGTAAAAAGGCCAAGTGGGTTTTTGCATATATAGCACTTTAGATGTGATTAAAATATAATAACTGTGCTATAAAGGTTAGCTTGGGTTGTTACTAATAAATACTTTGTGCTATTCTGATGGATCCTAAGTCTGTATTTCCATTCCTGATTTCTCCCTTTAGCTCCGGATGGGTAGGGACTGTATATCCAACTACCTGTTATCATTTCCATCTAGACACCTCATGGACAACCTAAATTTAAAAATGTTGAAGACCAAAATCTGAATTCCTCTTCCATCAAATCTTGTCTTCCCTGACTGTCTAAATAGGACGTAAGGGAAGCAAGGGAGAAAACTAGGGCCCACCTGATTTAGAATGGGCCCATCCTACTTGGATTTTAGTTTGCCTTCCTGCCCTTTCATTCTGCCTTGTGTCAAGGTAATAAAATATGATGGCACCATGCTTTACCGGTTAGAGTTTGCTGAACTCTTTCTTCTTCATCAGCACTTGTGATCCTTAAAGCAAATCAGGTCTTATAAATCCCCTGCTTTCTTAAAACTCTAACTACATCCCATTGAGTTAGAATCAAATGTGGATTCCATACCGTGATTACACAAGGCCCTGAATAGTAGTCAGTGGGAGTTGAGGGAAAAGATAGACTGGATCAGTGATGGTGAACTTTTAGAGCTTTCAGTAATACAAACAGCCTGTAGGTTTGCCACCACGGACTATGTAAACCCAGGGCACTGCAGGTTGTCCCCAGATACCCTTCAATTAGGTAGTCTGGTGAGAGGCTGGCTTATGGAATTGCCTTTCTGTTTCCCAAATGCAAGCCATTGTGTCCTTTATGATTAATGGTGTATCTAAATTCACCTACGTGTCATGTGCTGGGGCACATGGTAGGCAAACATTCAACCACTGAGCTATACTTACAGCCTCACTTTTTAAAGTTTGTGTGTGTGTGTCGGGGGTCATACTCACAACCTCGTGTTTGCCAAACAGGCACTTAAGCCGCTGAGCTAACCCCCTGGCCCAACTTCTTAAATTTTAATGCTCATTTCTTTCTTTAGCCTTATTCTGAGCATTGATATTTGCAAAACCCAGAAATTTATGTCAAATAAATCTTTTCTTTCCTGCTAAGGATAATTTGATACTGAAAAACTCCTGTATAGGATAAAGTCTCACATAAAATCTATTAATTTCCCCAAGAAATGTTTGTATTCAGAAACCCTAAAATTCACTCCAATTTTGTAAAGACAATGTAAGCACCATTAAAATGGACATGACTATTCAGTGGTTAACATTTGTTGTTGGAATTACCTATCATTTAATCATGAGTAATCCTTTAAGACTTGCACTTAGTTTGATATTTTGAGGCACTAGATACCTTACACTTGAGACTAAACAAGAAAGATATACATTTTCTTTATGGGAAATTTAGCCTCTATTTAAAGAAAACAGTAAAGACAAAATAAATCAATGAAAACTAAATGTCTAAAAATGTCACAGTGGCTAAACAGGT